CCTTTTCCAGAAAGCACTGTGCCTCCAGCCCTGCGTAGGACACAGAAGTCTGAAGGTTCTGGGTGCAGAGCTCCTGCTGCTGCCAACAGCTGGCTGGTGTCATGAGACCAGTGGACAGGATGGCTGAGGACAACACTGAGGGTGGCTCAAGTGGGTCTGGTCTCCATGCCTCTAGTTCCTCTGGCACACCAGGACCCCATGGAAAATACATGGGTGGTGCCCCAGTTTGACATTGTTTCTGCAGAGCTGGTCTTTAAGAGTTTCCTCTGGGTGCTGCAAAATCTCCGCAAAGTTAGTGGCTTCGAACAATACAAATTCTTTATCTTACAGTGTTAGGAGTCAGAAGTGCTACAGTCGAGATGCCAGCAGCTGTCTTCCTTGCAGAACCTTTAGAAGAAAATATTTTTCTTGGTCTTTTCCAGCTTCTAGATACTGCCTGTATCCCTTGGCTTGTAGTCCCTGCCTCTGTCTTCAAAGTCAGCAGTACAGCATCTTCCAGATGCCCTCTGATTCTGTCCTCCTGCCTTTTTCTTATAGAGACCCTCTAGTTACAATGACCCATGCAGATAAGCCAGAATAATGTGCCCCGCAAGATTCTCCATCACATCTGGAAAGCTCTTTTGTTTGGTAAGTTGTCCTAGTCATAGATTCCAGACATCTTTGTAGGTTGGCTATTATTCCACTACCAGTCTATCCCTTGGGCCTCTGGACCTGTCTGGCATCCCTAGCCCACTGTTATGGACATTGGCCAGGGCCTGGGGGTCTGGAGGGCAAAAGTGACCGAGGAATCTGCTCCTGCCCTCCAGCTGGCCCAGAGTGCATCGGCCTCTCTGGTTCTGCTCACCTTGGACTTGGTGTCTCATCTACAAATGGGCCTCAGGAGAGCAGCTCCAGGAAGCCAGTGAACAATGGCTCAGGAGCCCTCTCTTGTGCTGAGTGGCTGCTCCACCCAGGGTTAACCCTTTCCTGCATCTCATCTGTAGCTGGGGTGCTCATTCTGCCTGTCTTATGAACCTGTAGAAGGTTCCCGAGATCGCAGAGCTGAGGGAGGGTGGGCATGGCACCTTGGTATGCACTAGACAGCAGTGCCGGTCTTTCTGCCACAGCAGGGGGAGTTGGGCCCTTTTGTCACCAGGAACCACTGCAGGCGCCTGTTCTTAGTCCCTAACAGTAGGGACCCACCGCTGATTGTTTCTGAGCATTTTCCCTGTGTCCAGCCCTATGCTGAGCACATCATCAAATGCCACATTCAGCACTTGGCCTAAGCAGGGCAAGGAGGGGTGCTGGGAGCACCCCTGTCTCACACAGCCAAGGGTCTTGGAGTGACACAGTGGCACAGCAGCAAAGTGGCCTGGCTTGGAATGGAGAACAAATTGCTTTGACTTCTGAGCCTGTTTTTGTTTTGTTTGGGGTTTTTTTTGAGGGGGGAAGTTATTTTGGATTTTTGTGCTGAGATCAAACCCAGGGCCTCACACATGCTAGGCAAGCACTCTGCCACTGAGCTACACCCCATCCTTGAGTCTGTTTTTAATGCACATCTAATGCTCCAGCCTAGCACAGTGACTAGCAGCTATCTGGAATGGGATCATTCATTCATTCCTTCGTTCATCCCACTCATGTTTACTGAAAGCCTATGATGTTCTGCTTGGCCTGGGTGTGTGTGGGGGGCTCTACATTAAACAACTACTGCAGGGCTGGGAGAAGAAGGGCCCACAATGACTCCTAGGAAGGGCCCACTGGCACCAGGCTGGTGATTCCATGTGCAAAGACTTTCACCCATTTCCCAGCCGGCCATCAGGTGCACTCCGAGTCTCAGCCTCAGAGGACGGAGCTCTGGGCCAAGCTTGGCTCAAAGCACAGGCAGGACAGTGGGAGAGCTGTGTTTCACCCCAGTGGGGCTGGCTCTGCTCCTCCCCTACCTGGCACCCGCCTGCGGCCCACAGAGCCGAGCAGCTTTGCGGGCTGTTCCTGCTGCTCTCTGCGTGGAGCTGCATAAACGCCCCAGCCCCCAGAGGCCAGTCGATTGTGGCCCTGGCCCTTTGCCTAGCAACCCGGTGAGCAGATCCTCTCTGGTGGTCTGCGTTCATTCTCTGGCTGCCTGTGTCCCGATGTCTCAGCGGCCATCTTTTTATTAAAAGAAGAAAATGACGAAGAAATCACCCTCTTCTCCCCCGGGCTTGCCAGGCCTGGACACTTCTCACCTTATTTCTGTCCCAGAATCGCTGTGAGACACATTCAAGCCTCTTTGCATCTCTCTCCAGGGAGACACCGGTAGATCGAGGGGTTTGTCCAGGGGCCTGTGGCCATTTGTCCTCTAACCATTCATCCACTAGTTACTTCCCCAGGCTGGCTTAGAGTCTGGCACCTGCTGGACATTGGAGGTGTGATGCAAACCAGGAAGACAGAATCCCTGGCTCCATGGAGTCTTTGAGCAGGGGAAGATATGTGATGCCAGTGCCCTAGGCCCCCAAATGCCCAAGACAAGCACAGATAGACTGAAGTGCCCAGAGCTGGGCCCCGCACACAGCTCAGCGTGTGCTCCACCAGCAAACAAGGGCCTCCTGAGTCTCTTGGACCTCATTCCCTGGACTCCTGGCAACCCTGGGCATGTAAGGATTGTGCCTTGCAGCAGTTCAGAGGGGTTCAGTAGCTTGCCCTAGTCCAATGGTGGCGAACCCATGGCACACACGCTACAGTAGGCTGTCTGCATCATTGAAAGCTCTCAAAGGTCTGTCATCACTGCCCTAGACCCTCTGGCTAGTAAGCAGGAATGTTGAGACTCCGCCTGATTCCAGAAGTTCATGGTCTTAACTGGTCAGTTCATGCCCTCCAAACTCCAGCAGACTCAAAGAGGAGAGATGTGTGCCATGTCCACAGACCAGGGGCCCAACAAGCAAAGAAACCTGAATTACCTGGGTCACATGTCGACAAAGAAACTCCAAAAAGTTCAAACTAAATGGTGGATGAAGACCCTCCAGACACCCAGAGAGGTTCAGAGTGAGGTTACCATGGGAACAGCAGTTGCCAGCCCTGTGTCCAGCCCTGAGTTGCAGCGATAACTACACAAGTAAATGGGCCTCACCACCACCCCCTGCTGCAGCTCCAACTTCTACATCCATTTTTCTCAAACAGAATACAAGTTAAAAATAATCCAGTGGGTTCACTCTTTATTGATAAAAGTTACCAACCTTCAGTATGATCCATCATAAACGTTTTTCAAAATATTAAAACGATCTTTTTAAGGCACATACTCTTTGATCCAACAGTTCTACCTTCAAGAATTGGTTCTAAAGAAATCACTGTGGATGCTCCCCCAGGCTGTAAAGAGAGATACTCATTGCAGCATGGTTTACAATAATGGAAAATTGAAAACAACCTAAATGTCTCAAGGAAAATCACTTAAACAATTGACAATACATTCAAACAACGGAATACCATGCAGGCAGTAAAAATGATGATAGAGGAGACTCATATTGACAAGGAGCAGTAATTATAATAAAGTATTAAGGGAAAGCAGAAAGTCACAGGACAGTATGTTTAAAAGGGTCTCATTTTTCAGTAAAAATATATGGATGGAAAGATGCATGGATGGATGGATGGACAGGTGGATGGAGAGAAGGCTGATGGATGGCTACATAGAAGATGGATCACTGATAGCTAGACAGATGATTAATAAATATATACGATAGGTATGACAGGTAGGTGATAGTTGGTAGACAATAGGTAGATAGATAATTGATAGATTACAGCTGACATATATAAATGGATAGAGATGGTAGGTGACAGATGATAATTGATAAATAAATGATATCAATTATAGATGATTTCTAGATAAATGATAGCTACATGATAGATAAGCAATAGATAATAGGCAGTCAGGGAGGGGACCTGGTGGCTGGAAATGACAGGGCAGCCATGTGGACAAGCCTGGGAAGGGACAGCGCTCTCCAGCACCCAGCCTTCTGCCTCTCCTGTCACCAGTCCGTTCACTTCCGCAGCACCTGGGGCTTCCCGAACCACTCAGAGAGTGCTGTGTGGCTCACTGTGACGATTTCACTTTTTGCCTCAGCTGCCAGGATGCAGGCAGCCACACTGGAATACCTAATCTGTGACCATTTCTCTAACCCCGAGGATTTGGGGGGTTTTCTCCCCCTCCTCATGCGTGGCATTCTTGATTTTTCTCTTTCTAGTTCACAGCCTTTCCATTTTATGTGTTGTTTATCGTAAAGCACCTCAAATCCTTTTTGGAAGCAGGCAGGGTATAAATTATAAATAGGTTTAATTTAAAAAACTCAATAGGGCAGTTTCCCTGGAGGGCTCCCAGCAACTGCTTCTGCTGACATTTCCCCATTACCCCAGTGGAGGGGGAGCAGCTGTCCAGGGCTTAACCCTTGGGGTGCTGCATGTTGGGGCTCCTCCTCCTCCGGCTCCTGAGCTGCTGGGGCAGGGTAGTGACTCAGGTGTGTCTGGCTGCCCCTCCCTGCACTGTGCAGTAGGTGTGCACCAGGCCACACCTTTCCTTCACCCTCTTACACGCTGCTCAGGGGACTCACCTCCACAGTCGGGGCTCGGGGCCAAAGGCGCGCAGGTGGCCACTGGGGGATGTGTTGGGGGGCAGTGGGAGGGGTTGGGCTGCCGGTGCTCACTGAAGGCCACCTACCAGCAACACAGCCAGCGGCCCTGGGGTGAGTGACCTCAGGCTAGATAGCCAACAAATGATAACAGTAACTATTTCAGAGGGTGGTTGGGACTGGGACGACTAGTTGAACCGCTGGAACACACCCGAAGGGCTCAGAACGGTGCCTAGCATACCGTGAGAACTCCCAATATAGACATTTTTATAATTTTTATCCCTTATCCCTGGCTTCCCCCAAGAAGCCCACGGTGGTGAGTGGAGGAGGAGTCACAGCATGTCTGATACGTCCTCCCATGCTTCCTCCTCCCTTTAAGTGTGTCAAGTGCTTTTCTTGCTCTAGGCTCGGATTGGTGGTGAACAAGACAGAGGCGGTGTCTGTCCCCCTTCAGGTGCCACCCAGCCCCTGCCTAAGAGCACGCATGAACCAAAAGAATTTCAGAAAATAAAGATTAAGCCAGGTGGGGTCTGCTGGACAAGCGGGCCACCCTGAGGTGGGGACACTGGAGCCTGAGTGATACTGAGGAGCTGGGCAGAGGGTGCCGAGTTTAAAGGCCTTGGGGCAGCAGGGAGATTGGGTGCTTCGGGGAAGAGAAAGACACCAGGAGCTGGGGCTGACTGAAGCAGTGGGAGAGTGGAGGGTGGGAGGAGGGAGGTAGAGGCAGGGCGAACCGTGTAGGGCCTGGGCCCGTAAGGCGTCTGCACTTCCTTCACATGGCTGGACACACAAAGAGGATGCCAAGGGCAACTCTGGCTGCACCCCGCCCTCCTCTGTGTCTCCCAGGCCGGCTGACCCTCACGACAGGCTCATGGGGGAGACTTGAGGGAGATGCAGCAGCCCGAGGCCTCTCCCTGCTGGCCTCACCTGCTGGATTTTCCTGCCGATTGGGGTTGCATAGGGGCTGTCAGGGCTGGATTTCCTGGGGCCCTCGCCACTCTGGTGCTGCCGTTGCCAGGTCTGTCCACAGTTCTAACGAACGGCCGATAGATCTACTGACATCATTGGTTTATGTTCCATCTGCACAGAAAGTTTGCACTTTAGTAAATATACATAGGCCTCACATTTTCCAAGGGGAGGATGGTTCTTCTTTGCCCACCTGCCTCAAGCCAGCTATAGAACTCCACACCTTCCAGAAATGATGAATTGATTCATTTGCTCCTCGAAGAGATTTGTTTTGCTTCCCTTCCATGGGGATGCCAGGCCTGGAGGATACACAGAGGAAAGAGGCTGCCCTTAAGGAACTTGCAGCAGCAGAGCAGACGGTATTGACATGAGCCAAAAGCAAGGGCTTAGTGGGGGAAAGCCTTCGTGCCTTCGTGCTGCAGAATATCCCTTCCAGAAGCTGTTCGTGGAGGCTGTGCAGGAGGAGGGCCCTGGCCAGGCACGGTGGGTTAAGAAAAGTTAGAAAGCTTCAGATTCCGCAGGTCAGAGCCTCGCCTCCGAGACAGGGAAGGGAGGAGGCAGCATGGTGCTCCCCTGTATTTCCCCGGAGGCCCTAAGGAAGGGGTACCACCTGCAGAGAGGACTCTGGAGCCCACATTGCATGGTGGGGCAGGACTTGTGGCTCAAGGTCACAGGAGAAGGGAGGAGAAAGTTAGCACTCAGAATGCAGCTGGGGCCCTTGTAGTTCTAGAAGTTGCACCCAAGGCCTTTGCCCTGAGCTACATCCCCAGCCCTCTTCTATTTTTTATATTGAGACAGGGCCTTGCTAAATCACCAAGTTGCCCAAACTGGGCTATGTTTCCACCATTTAAAAAAAAAAAAAAAAAGATTCAGAACAGAATTTTTAAAATCAGAGTGCTATGTTTAAAACAAAAATGAGGGCCAGGGATTTAGCTCAGTGGTTCCGTCGCTTGCCTTGCAAGCTCAAGGACTCGAGTTCGATCCCTGGTACCAAAACAAACAGAAGTAGTTTTCTTAAGTGAAATAAACAGGACACACATGTGTAAATACGGAATAGTTTCTCTAGTGTGAGAAACTGAAAGTGTAAATAAGGACTAAAAGGTATAATAGATAATGTGAAATAGGAAGCAAAGGGGCAAAGGGGAAGGGGAAGTGGGAGGGATGGGGAAAGGAAAGAAGGGAATGGGATTAATGAGAAAATGAAAAAATGGAAACAAAGTCTTTGTAAATAGGGAGGGATGGAGGGGTTGAAGGGAGGGCAGGGGAATGGGAAAAAATAAGAACCAGGAGAGATTATGTAAAGGTGCAAATTTCCAATGATGAATGTCATTATATTGTACACCTAAAATGTACCAATAAAAGGATATACAAAAAAAAAGAATAAGCGTTCAACATCCTTTGTCAGGATATTCTAACCAATGTCTTCCTTGGCTCCTACCTTTCTTAGGACCTCTTACTATTATCTGCATGATCTTGCTTTTCGGACCCTGCCTGTTCCGTTGTTTTCAAAATTCCTTGCAGGAACGCAGGAGAGCCTTCACAAACCAGGCAGTCAGTGAGTTCTCATGGCCGGAAGCAGCCCCTCGCCACCGATACCAGCTCGCCATACCGGAACCTCACCGTGGCCCTCTAAATCCCCCTCGCAACAACGCCCCTTTGCCAGCAGGAAGCAGCTACAGAAAGAGAGACCTTTGCCCCTGTTCCATAATAACAAGAGTCTGGAATGGTGGAGTTCTCTACCAGACAAAATGGCTCCAATGGTCCTACATTCTAAAATGGCTCCCGTTCCTAAAATGTTCCCACTTACGGAAATGAGCCACTTCGGAAAAGTGAAACCTACGCCCTCTGGAGAAGCAAAACCTAACTTATTGCTCTACCCTGCTGCCCTCCTGATCCTCCCCTTCCAATCACCTTGATTCCCCTTGCCTGCCCAACAACCCAACCAATTCTGAGCTCTCGAGATACTCTCCCCACTGCACTGCCCTATTTAAACCTTACCCCAGTTAATCTTGCTCTCTCTCACTATTGCTCAAGGCAGCCTGGCAGCTCTTTCCCTCCCAATAAAGCCTTGCCTTGGATGCTCATGAAGAAAAGAAAAGGAATATGGGCCCTAGGTGGGGACTGGGGAGACCTCCAGGACACATGGCTAAGTGACAGAAGCCAGCTGTCGAGGAAGACTGCAGTAGGATCCTGTCCACGGGAGAAAATGACTCAGTGCAGAGCTCATGGGGCCACTTTGCCTGAGTGGAGTGGACTGCAGGGCCCAGAGTGGAGCAGATGCTCACTGAATCTTTCCACAAACGCCTCAAGACAAGTCTGAGAGCCTGTGTTGCTTGTAAGTGCCTTGTTCTCTTCTCCCCAGCTTGGCCCGAGCCCCTCTCCTGTCCTCTCCTCCATATCTCCTGGCCTTTTCTGGCATGCATCAAACGCAATCCTTTCTTGGGGATGTTCTCGGCCTCCCCTCTTTGTATTACTTGACCAGCATACTCTGGGCTCAGCCTGGCCCTCCAGGACCGCAGCCCGGGGCCCTAAGAGGCTACACCCTGCAGAGTCCCGAGCCACCACCACAGCAGTCTCAGTGAAGCTCTCAGTAGAAGGTTCTACAAGTGCCACCAGGAGCCCGACAGCTTGTGGAGCTGCTCAGTTACCTGGGAGTCCCCAGCCAGCCCCAGATCTTCTGAGTCAGAATCTCCAGGAGGCCAGGTTTGGGGAGCTCTGCCACCAGCCACCCCAGCAGCCCTCTCCAAGCAGGACAAGCTGTCTCCTCTTTGCAGCCCTCCAAACATTACATGCGGGCCCCGCGGGAAGGTAACTCATGCTTCCCACCAGCTTCCCCAGCTCCAGGTCCCACAGAGGCACTTGGAAAATATTAATGCCCCAAGTTGGAAAACTTTCAAGCCTGCCACAGGCCCTCTGCATCAAAGCTAGACCCTTGCTCCTCAGCAGGGATCGGTAACCTGTAGCTGGAAATAATTTGGGTTTGGGAAACGATGTGACATCGGATCCAAGTTGCCAGTTAGCTTGTCATCTGGCCCCTGCTGCCAGGCCTGTTTGCTCAAGGTGATGGTCTGCTTATGGAGGTTATAGGCTTTTTAGGTGCCAACCTGCACCCTTCCGGCCTCTGCGCTGGGCCATTTAGCTGTCTAAATCAAGACATCTCAGGCCACAGTGACCGTGAGGTATTCATGCACGGGGCTGCCTTGCCTCCCCTCGTAATCTAAATCTAAATTATTGGCCCGGGATGTAGGGAGCAGCCTATGCACATATCTGATGTGCAGTGAAGAATATAATATACAGTGTTTCAGTGTAATAAGGCTCTTTGTAGAAGGTGTTAAGTAGGGTCTGGCTTCGAACACGAGTGAGGCCCTGATTAGTTTCTGCCTGGAAAATATCTACGTGGCAGATGTCTTCTGAGGCCTCCGTGGGGACAGGACAGAGCTCAGTGCCTCTCAGTGCTGGTTTACATCTGGACGGTTGATCAGACTGAAAGTGCTTACGCTCCCTGAAGGCAGGTGCTGTGTTTCACAGGCATGTGTGAGGAAAGGTGTTCAATAAAGCCTCATGGGATTCATCTGGAAGGAACTGAAGCAGAAAGTTATTCTCCAGGCTCACACCATGACGTAGGGGCTCGCTTCCTCCACTGACAAGCTGTGCTCAGAAGCCATCACACTGCCACCTCCTGCAGGGCTCCTTGGCCCGGAGTCTCTACTTCCGTCGTGTGGGGCCAGGGAAGTCCCTGGTGTGGGAGCAAAGGCCACTTAGAGGACACGCAGGGAACATCCATCTTCCCTCCCAACACTCGGCTATGCTCACTCATCCATTCCTCCAGCCATTCACTCAACAAATATCAAAAGCTCCTTGCTTCCTCAATGCAGCTTTTCACACAGGACATGGATGAGTCTGGAACCCGGATGCCTAGCAACACACTGACATCTTTGGTCTAACACACACCACACCATAGACAAGGTCCATCCGCCAAACCTGGGCCGCCACCAGTGTCCTCAGAACGCGAGTATGAATGTCTGCGGCTGCTTTGGCACAAGAGCAGCAGAGTGATGTGGTTGGAACAAGCTGATAGCCTGCAGAGCTGGCCCTTTACAGCAGCAGGTATTCACTAGGTACCCGCAGCGGGGATGGCCAGGAGAGCCAGGACCAGTGCAGCAGGAGCTCCGGGGATAGGTGGGGCCCGATTTGTGTCCTCCTCCCACCTCTGGCCAGCTCATCCCCTCTGGCAGTCTACTGGCCAGCCGATGGGGACTCCTGCAGTGCTTGGCTGAAGGAGGGCCCTTGGGAGTAACAGTTCCCTCTCTCTCTCTCTCTCTCTCTCTCTCTCTGTTTCCACATATGGGAGAAAACACACGTGATATCTTCTAGTTTCATTCGTTTTCCTACAAATGCCATGTCTTCATTCTTCTTGAAGGGTGGATAACCCTGCATTCCGTATGCAGCACATTTCCTTTATCGGTTCATCTGTTGACAGCCATCTGGGCTGGTTCTGTATCTTGGCTATGGAGAATAGCGCTGCCACCATCTTGGGTATCCAGGCATCTGTATAGTAGGGGTCTCCAACCCTGGGCCACTGGCACTGTCCGTAGCCTGTTCATAGGCGAGTGGGCATGGCTGAGTTCTGAGGACTCTGTAGAGGATTCCAGGATCTGGGGTACCCAGAGGCAGCACCTAACTTGGCTGGTAGATAAACTAGGAAGGGCTTCCCAGAGGCCAGGTCTGTACTCAAATCTAAGAGGTATGTAGGGAGGGACCCGGGTTCAAGTCAAAGCAGGGATTGTGTGAATCTGTTGATCTAGGTTTTGGACCCCTGCTCTCATACTTCCTGGCCATATCGTCTCAACTCAGTCCCTTCACTGCACTTCTGTCTCCTTGTTTATAAAATGCAGGCAGTGATGTGGTGACAGCTTCTATGATGAACACGAATAATAATAATAATAACACCAGCCTCCTAAGGGGTTCAACAGCAGTTTCTTACCAAACAGCTATCCGTCACTTTCTATTTGCCTGACTCTGGGGATGGACAGGAAGCCAGCACATACCTGGTCATCGAGAAGAAAGGAAAAAACAAATAAGCAAAGAAATAACATGATCATAAAGCCAGGTGAATGCTCAAGAGAACAGAGGAGTGCAGCGATAGAGAAGGGGAGGGGAGGGTGCCAGGGTGCAGCTCGCAGACGGCAGCGCCCCCTGACTTCCGCCCTCACCCCCCAAACCCTGGAAGAGGGCGAGTCTCGATGCTTCAGCTGCTGATTTCACAGCCCCCACTGACCGGAAGTTCTAAACCAGCACCCCAAGGGTGATGTCCAGCCCACAGACAAATTGATTGCATTTCTCCTGCCTACAAATTGTTTTCACTTCAAAAATTGGATTCCACTGCTAAAATTTAAAATCAAGAGATAGCTCAAAAGAACACCAATTTCCAGTTTCTGCAAAAACACATACACAGGAAAATTCAGCCGCCAAGGACCACTTTCCCTGCAGGCAGGAACAATCCAATTCTCCACACTCCCTCCAGCCCTGTCTCATGCACCTGTCTGGCTCTGCCACATATTTTACTGACCTGGCCCTGTGAAGCCCCTCAGTCTGTAAGGTTCTTGATGTTGGAGACACCATGGAAGCAGCTGCTGCTGGACACAACCCACTGGCCTGCAGACCCATGACCACCTTCTCTGCCTCGGTCTCGGCCCTGAGGCCATGCCCCATGGACCTTTTGCCCTCATGCAGTCATCCACAGGAGACCTGGGGGCATTTACTTTCCTGCCTCTCTTCTTTCTGGGCACATGGCACAGGCTCTGGGTCCCTTCCCCCAAGGCCCAGGACCTGGAACAGCCCCCACTGTCACCTGTCCTCTGGGATCGCGCCAGCCCTGCCCCACCCATTCCCCCATGCTCTCCAACAGTGCCCTTCCATCTGGGACTGCAGCCCAGCCCCAGTGAGGCCAGTGTGGCATCTTGCATGGGACTTGGTTGGTGGCAAGTGCTCAGGGCATGGAGGGACTGTTACCACTTTGTCCTCTGGGCTTCTTCAGGACATGAGTCCTGCAGCCTCTGTCCCCCACTGCCTTACTTTTTTTGTTGTTGCTGAGACAAAACACTGGGCACCCCAAATTAAAGGAGGAAAGGTTTATTTTGGCTCACAGTTTGTAGAGGTTTCAGTCCATACTCGGCTGGCTGCAAGGCAGTGTGGCACATGGCAGAGGGGCATCACAGAGGAGAAACAGTCCACGGCAGGCAGAGGTAGCAAAGCAAGCAATGGACATGAGCAGCTTTTTTCTGCCCCTTTTATATTCCATCTAGCATATGGGATTAGGGCAGTGCCAAACCAATCAGTGGACTGATTTAGTGATCACACACACTTAATCTTAGCTCCCTGAATCCTAGCATTGCGCCAGGAATCAGTCACACACTCTAGATCCAGCCACCTCTGAAAAAGTCCCACCCATGACTGCATGAGGCTTTGAGGTGACATCTAGAGAAAAGCCACTAACCAGGCCCCTCTTGCCTCGTCAGATTAAGTCTGGGCCCCTAGGAATGCCACCCATCCTAGAAACTGTGCCGCATTCCTTTCTCAGACTCACTGGGATGCTTAATGGTGAGTCCTGTCCGTGCTGTGAGCATCAACAGAGTGTGGCTTGAACTGCGGTGGCAGCACAGAGCTGCCCCATTGCTAGGGCTTGGGGAGGGAATTGTTGCTTCCCTCAGATATTTAACATGGCCACACAGAGCTATAGCAGGTGAGGGACAAAGTCATAGCCTTTTCTTGTGGCCTTTTTGAGTGACCAGGGAGCCTGGTGCAGAGGCAGTGAGTTCTGACCTCCTGAGCAGTCTCCTAAACCTCTGGGAATAGAAACAGAGAAAA